TATTACTGATCATTGGAAACACTGACATTAGAAAATCTGGGTGTGTGGAAGAATGTCAGTTGACCTGTAACAGGGTGTTGAAAATAGAAGAAACAAAACAAAATACGTAAACATCCTGAGAAACATGTGGGCTAAGATGAGAGATTTTTGATGAGGGAATTAATACCCTTGCTATTCTAAGTAATAAGCTAGTATAATTCTGTAGTCACTAAGCAGTGGAACCTCATATGAAAACCTGATCCATAATTTATGTTTATGCCTCTGAAAAAGAAAAAAATTATGGTCATTTAATTGATAGGTTATTGAATGCACAATGATCTTTCCAGTTTTTATATGTGATTATTTCACTTCAGCATAAGACAAAACATGACACCGGTACAAGAAGTGTGCCGTAAAAAGCACAAAGAAAATTTATTTAACCATCAGATAAGCCATAGTCATTGGCCAGTGCTGAAGTACAGGGCCATATCTATAACTTAGAAAACTAAGTTCGTCACAGGAAAAGAACCCACAAATTTGGGGTTTTCATTCGCTTTTCCCCAGAGCCTCACCCTCATCACCTACTTTAACACCAAAGTCACTTCCAGTCCTAGGCATATAAACATTCATCACTAGCCAACCTTCCATATCCATCCAAACATGCCCTTTCAAACCAGGGACATAGCATTGCACCAACAACTGAACCCAGATGCAATCTGAGAGGAAAGACCATGTGGAAGGAATGGGAAGGTGGACATATGACAGCATGGCTCCCTGATAGGGAACGTTCTGTAGCAATAGGGCCACCAATTCCCAGTGGATTAAGTTAACTGCTGAAATAAAGTCTGCTGAATTAATCTGGTTTAGATCAATAAAGAATTTTCTCATTACTAGTTCAAGATGAACTTACTACGCACACAGCAGTTCTCATGCAGGATCAAAGACTTGCTGGTGTCTTCTTATAGTGTTAAAATATTCCCAGGCTTTTGGACTGGGTAGCATTAATTATCTGAAGCATCTAGAAGTAGTCTGACAACACTTTTTTCCTTGACTCCTAATTGATACTGCCAGAATTCCATCTTAACCAACCAGACTGCTCTGCCTTGACCTCCTGAAGAAAAAAATAGCTCACAGTTCCAAGGCACAGATAAAAAATATAGTCTGGACCAGAGCTACAAAGGACCCTGAAGTACCTAGAACAGATGACAGTAAACTGTCTAAGTGGTCAAATCTACGTTCATCATCATCATCTAGCAACATATCACCAAACACATCACTATAACAGAACCGTGAATGGAAACAAGGTGCCTTCCTTAGAAGGAAAAGCTTACTAACTGTTCTGGAAGGCTTTCATGGAATCATGGAATCTTTGGGTTGGAAGGGACCTTTCAAGGTCATCTATACCAACCCCCCTGCAATGAGCAGGGACATCTTCAACTAGATCAGCTTGCTAGAGCCACATCCAACCTGACCTCCAATGTTTCCAGGGATGGGGCATCTACCACCTCTCTGGGCAACCTGTTCCAGTGAATCAACACCCTCATTGTGAAAAATTTCTTCCTTATATCTAGTCTAAATCTGCCCTCTTTTAGTTTAAAACCATTACCCCTTTCCTATCGCAACAAACACTGCTAAAAAATCATAGAATCATTAAGATTGGAAAAGACCTTTAAGGTCATCAAGTCCAATCGTCAACCTGACACCACCATGCCCACTAAACCATGTCCCAAAGTGCCACATCGACACGTTTTTTGAACACTTCCAGGGATGGTGACTCAGCCACTTCCCT